TTAAGAGCCTTTAGTTTTTTTTTTTTATTTACTTAAAAAAAAAAAAAAAAAAAAAAAAAAACTAGAAATCAGATTCCTTCTCAAAACCAAAATCAAAAACCCAGAAATCAGATATCTTTCTCAAACCCAAAATCAAATCTCAACAAGGGGCGGCGTCAGCTAAGAAGAATAGGAAGAGAAGGTTTTTTGTTTTTTTGTTTTTTTTTTAAGAAATAAGATGATGAGTTTTTTCTTCTTCATTTCTAAATTTTAAACAAGGATAATATGGTCTTTTGATACAAAAGTTGAAGGAAAATAAATGGAAAAGAAAAATTTAAGAGTTTTTAGCACATTTGTTCCTAAACTTCTTATTGTTTAGTAAATTGTCTTTCTAAATTTCTAATTTTAGTAAGTTACCTCCTCAATTTGTAAAGTTGTTACAATACACCCCATTTTGAAGATGACTGTGTTAAATTAGTATTGAAAAAGTATGTTCGATAAAAAATTTTAACATATCAATTCAAATATAACACAAATCTTTTAATTTTTTAACTATTAATCTCTTAAATCTAATAAAAATTTAAATAAGTTTATTAAAATAGAGCACATTTTAATAAATTTATAAATTTAGGTGGTTAATTGCTAAAATTAAAATTTAAAAAATAATTTACTAAATCATAACAAGTTAGGATGGCAATTATGTTAAAAACCCAAAATTTAAAACGGGGCTAAGTGTGGAAAGGCGTTCGAACGGGAGGTTATTGGCTGGAAAAGGTCGAAGATATCCTTCTCCTTCTTCTTCTCCTTCTGCTTCTAATTTTCTTCTTGCTTTTCGATGTGGTGACTAACATCCAAACTCCTAAAGTCCAATCTCGTAAAGCAATTCTTCTGGTTCGAATTCGCTGCTCTCGTCTAAGAATCTGGTACAGTTTTCGTCTTTAATCTCGGAGGAATTGGGGGGTAGAGTTTCGCTGCTGAGGAATTGGAAGTAACGCCACCTTCGATTGTTCTCATTCTGGTCCCTGCGTTCCTTTCCTTGCCTCTATTCCGATCGAAAAGGTCTCTCTCTCTCTCTCTCTCTCTCTCTCTCTCTCTCTCTCTCTCTCTCTCTCTCTCTGATTTTATTGAAACTTTGGATATGTTTGTTTGTTTAGGATTCGGAAATCGAACTGATTCTGTCTCTTTTAATTCGTGTATTATTATCGACAAGAAATTCTTCCTTCCATGTCTTTGGTACTGAGTGATATCTCCGATCTCCCTTGATTGGAATTGATTCTGTACGGTTCTAGGTAACATAGCATTACCTTTAATCAATAATTGGATCCTCTCTGTTTGAGTATCATCTCATGGATTTACAAGTATTTTATTTTATTTTGTTTTATTATTATTATTATTTTATCATCCCTTGTTCATATTTGCTTTATTTTAAGAATTTGTTTGGACATTCAGAAGTTTGTTTATGTAAATTTATTTTAAGAATTTGTTTTGACACTCCTGTGTTTTCCTCTGTTTTTTGATCCCTTTTATGCAGAAGATGTTATGAGTGATGTGGAGACACAAATTCCATCATTGATGCCAACTGGCTCTTCATATTTTTCAGGTCTGAAGTTAAATCTTCAATGGGCAAGTTGCCTAGTTGGGTAATGTAGGTTTCACAAAAAAAGTGACAAACTAGTCCTTCACTTAGACAGTTAAGTAATGTAGGTTTGACCCAAGTGCTACATTGGAGAGAATTTGCTTGGCCTTTACTCTTACTGTCGAAAATGATGGAAGTCCTCACTCCCACTGCTCGCATACAGTTGTCCGAGATGTTTTTAGCAGTATTCTTTTTCCATAGTTCCGAGTACCTATTAGCGACCGGCTTTCATGGGCGGGCCAATGTTACTCTTGGATCTCTTCTCATCAGCCAAAACTATCTTATCGCGATGATCTTCTCGTTGGTCGAGTATTTGACTGAAGTCCGTCTCTTCCCTCAACTGAAGGAACACTGGTGGATTAGCATCTTTGGGCTTGTGATGGTTGTGGTTGGGGAAATTGTTCGTAAGATGGCGATCATAACTGCCGGTACAGCCTTCACTCACATGATTAGGACTCGTCCTGACGAGCATCACGAACTAGTTACACGCGGAATCTATAGATATATACGCCATCCAGGATATTCTGGTTTCTTCATATGGTCAGTCGGCACCCAGATAATGCTTTGTAATCCGGTGTCGTCGATTGGGTTTGCGATCGTTGTTTGGCGCTTCTTTTATCAACGAATACCATATGAAGAGTATTTCTTGAGGCGGTTTTTCGGCTTGCAGTACGATGCATATGCAAGGCGCGTTCATTCTGGTGTGCCATTCGTAAGGTAAAAACAGCAGAGCTAAATTCATTTTGATTAAATTTTGTAGTTCTTTTGCCGCTTTTTTCAAGGGCTTGGATTTTTGAAGCTTTAAGTTTTAACATATAAACTGGTGCCAAGAGTGATGGAGCTTTTTATCTTCTTCCACTGTATCTAAATCATTGGCTTAGGTGGTAATGCCAGTCCGGTTTCTGGTGATAGCTTATCTAGGGTAGACAAAACCCATCAGAGTTGATGACATCCAATAAGTTATATCTGAATGCAGTAAGCCTGTAAAGTCTATATCCCAAAAACTTGCATTTTCTATGACTAAGTGGACGTTTAGTTTATAGATTCATAATTATGATTTAGAACTATTTTCGGTTTACGTGTGTTTTTTGTGAGAGAAAATATTGTAGCGAGTCACGAACAATGATTCGAACTATAAGTAAGGCTATATCCCAAAAACTTGCATCTTCTATGACTAAATTTGCTACTTTAAACCAGTTTCAAAGAGTTTTTGCTTTTTTTTTTCTTTTCCTCCCTTCTATTTGTAAAAGTTAACTAATTCAACCTTCACTAAACACTCACTTTCTAAAATAGAAGTATAGTATGAATTAGAATAATTAGACTTGTAGAGGAGTTAAACATTACTCTTCTTAATTGCTGACAGTATCATTTTCTTAAGAGTACTAAATAGATGGGTAGTTCCTTTTATTTATGGAGTGTATTGAAGTGCATGAGTCAAGTATTTTTAGTCAAATAATTATTCTAATAAAATGGTATTAATTAAGATCTATACACTTTTAAAGATAAATTTTACAATTTTCTTTTGAGGGGGGTGTACCTTTCAGACGGACGCAAAATGAGGGACACGGATAATTTTTTAGATGGTTTTTTTTTTTTCCTTCGTCTTTTTTTTTTTAAGGAAAGTAGATATTGTCATATGTCATCTTATAAATGGTAAATAAAAGAGCAATTTTTAAAAATACACTTGAAATGGTGTTCATTTTTATTTATACCTTTTAATATTAAGAACACGAGAAACAAAAGAAACTCTCCAAACTGGAAAAGTGAAGAATACCCAGAAACCGGTAGAGACACGATTGGAATTACAAATAAACACGAATACAAGAGGAAGGACTTTGATAACTAGAAAAAGGAGAAAGCTTCTCGCATGGAAAGTCTGAGAACGCTTTTTCTCACTCTCTTCTTGAAATTCTTTGGCGTAAAAATGAGTTTGGGAGACAGTAGTGCTAGGACTTTGGGCCGGCGGGCTTGTCTGAAGTCTGAATTTTTCAAGTTTAGCGGGCAAGCTCATTTGGCCGCCCGCCCAAGCTAATTTTCGGGCTCGGGCTCGGGCCGCCTAAGAAAAGTCAGAATCGCCAAAGCCCGCCGCCGATGAAAGGCCCTGACCGCCAACTGTTGATTTTTTTTTCCCTCCGGCCCGAAGCCCGATCAACGGCTAGTTTTTTGAATGTTGGCGCCTGACCGGACCCGCCGCCCGAAAGCCTGATTCCAGCCGCTCTTTTTTTTTTTACCGTTGCCCGATTTTCGGCCCAAACCTGACCCACTGAGACAAAAAATGATCGTTGGATCCGAATTTTGGGGAAAATAAATTAATTTTTTAACCCAAAAATTTCTCAATAAATACTCCTCGGACCCCATAGATTTTTCTCACCTAAACTCTCTCAATTTCTCTCAATTTCTCTCAATCTCTTTCAATTTCTCAATCTCTCAAATCTCTCACAATTTTTTTAAAAACTATCACAATATCCTAAATCTCTCTCACAATAGTATATTATATAATATATATATACATATACACTATCATAAAAATTAAAAAATATAATAAAAAAATATTTTTTTGGGCCATTCGAGCGGGCTCGGGCTGCCCGGCCGGGCTCAGGCAACCAAAACCAAGCTCGCAGCCTGTCCATGGGCCTTCTCG